CAAAACTGTTCTATAAGAGAGTGAAAAAAAAAACATGATTCAACATTACTTTTTGTAACAGAATCACTCAGCAACTTGCATGCCGAATTTTGGTATAGGAGGAAGAAACACGAAGCTGAGTAGACCCTTTGTCCATGCCACCATTACAGCAGAAAGTGCCAGGAGAAATGGGAAATAAATAAATAAATAAACCGACAGTCGAGGCTGCTGTGCGCAAGCATGAAGCATCCACTATACGAAAATATGCTTTTAGTTTTTATGCACCCTACTAATAACTATAATAATGATTGGCTGCCACAAGAGTTTAATTTCCTCAGTGTCTGAGCCACATAAGTGAAAATGTGTTTTGGTGCAGCTCTTGTCGGATTGTGCATCAGTGTTGTAGCTCCTCCTGTAAACTGACTTAGAGTATTAGTGGAATGACAGACCATATCTTCAGAACAACATTTTGAGATCTTCATTAATATTCCGAGAAGAACACACACTTATTAAATTGAGACTTTTAGCTGTTTCTATCCACTACAGTTTGAACAGTACCAATAAGAAGCATTGGATTTAAACTAAAAATAACTGTATTAAGTGAAGAATAAGTTCTGGTACTGTGACAAAATAGCTTGGCATCTGCTTCCATCCAAACACTCACCATCAAAGCTGCCTTTTTCAGCGCAGAACTTAAGCAGCTCTTCGTGCGTCTCCTTGGACGGCCTGAAGACAAAAACCCCGGAGTTGAAACAGTCTGGCCAACCAGGATCTGGAGCTGCAGACAACTCTTCCCTCTCAAAAAGTTCATCTATGTTGGACAGCACCTGCAGATACCAACAACAGAACATAATTTTAAAAAAAAACCTCTTTAACTAAATAAAATGACATATCAAGAACAGTGGAAGTCTTAAGAAGAAAATGCATATAAATCACCTTAAGCTTTAAACGTATTATTTTTCTTACCAGTGTGTCGGCGTCCATGAACACACATTTGCTGTACTGCACGAGGGTCCAGCAGTGCAGTTTGGTGATCGTTACGCCCAAGTCTGGCCGCTTCATCAGAGCCAGATTAGCTGCGTCGCACGAATCCATGACGTCCACCATGATCACCTCATCAAAAACTGAGTGCAGCGCATCCCTGAAGCACAAGCAAAGGGAATCGTGTCAATATGTATGTTGGAGAAAAAGCAGACTGTGGTGCCGTCTGTTACCTGCAAGGCTCAGCAACATGAGGTCCTATGAGTACCACCAGTTTCCTGGTCGTGCTGTGGTTCCGCAACGACTGGCCAAGAACCATTGCTCCCTTGGCGTAGTTGTCGTTTGTGGCCAATGTCACAAAAGCTTGGTCTGCTTTGGGGGGGGAAAAAAAATAAAATAAAATGAGATCAGTTCAACTTCTGCCAACTTGCCCGTAACGATAATTTTTCAAAGTCACTCCATCTTGATGCCTAAATGCATCGAGTTCCCATCGAGCTATTGGGCCATTTGCCAGTTGTGCTAACAAGTAACAGGTGTACCTAATAAAATTTGCAGTGAAAGAGTAGCATTACACAACAACACTGTCATTTTAAATCATCAGAGCAGCAAGTTCAGAACGGTAAAGTGATGGATTAACCATTAAGCATGCATATTAAACCATATTTAAACTATACAGTTTTTAAAAAAATTCAAAATACTTATTGTACTTTGCATCAACAGAGAAGCAAGTAAATCAGCTGCTTCCCTCCCTGGGAATAATCCGATATACATTTTAGTCTTTTATCCTCACTCTAAAGACAAACCAGCTCCTTAACACTGATGTTATGTTTTTAATCAGTATTTAATGAGTTAAGATTTCATCCCACAAACACCGACGGGGGGGGGTATTCTGTGTTGCTGCTGGAGTTAAAGCTGTCCTGAAGCCAGCAGGCGGGGGATCATCAAGATGAATGCTTCGGTTGATGGGGACTTTTGAGAAACCCGATCCGTGCGGCTGTGTCGCACGGTTGCTAAGGTCCGATCCGAGGAACTATAAATCGACTATCAAAAGGCCAGAGTGTAAGAGCGGGAAACAAGCAGGAAGCATGTGCTGCACTCCCACAGCGTTATCTGTGCCTACAGTAAAACTCCTGACCCACTAAGAACTTAAAGCTGGTGAAAAAGCTTAATCCACCCTTAATTTAAACTGGGTTTATAATTCAGTTTGATCAAGCAATGGATGCTTAAAACTACTTTACCACACATAAGATATTTAATTATAATAGTTTCAGGGCTGTGCAGCATTTTAACATGCTAGTAATAAAATTATACTCCACAGGATGTTGACAGGTCTGATGGGGAAAAAAAACAAACATTGAAGCCACACTCTGCTGCACGTCCACACCAAAGCAATTACATCAAGTTTATTTAAAAATACCATTAAACAGGAAGTTACTGATTCTCGCTTCAGAAATAAAAGCACGCAAATAACATCTCGAGGCGTTTCAGGTGGAGCTAAAAGGTAAACCAGGTTGCATTTTGAAATCAGGATCGTTGAACCGAACGACCTCTATTCTCACCACCAGAAACGTTACAACTTGAGAGATGACATTTTGTCTCCGATTTGTGGTTCCTGATTGAAGAATTTACACAAACTGCGCATGATGAGAATTGAAACCGACTCCCCGATATTGCATGTTGCAGTCAAATTAGTGGCGAGGCCCAAGAGAAAGGAATTGTTAAGGCACATCCAGACGCTCGACTTGACAGCACTGTGGGAAGTTTTTGAACTTGGCAAAGCCTTCCTTCTCTGAATAGGTGCAGCAAAACATCAATCTGCAATTATTTCCATCGTCTACAAGAAGTGGCCTGCAGGTGTACAGGCGGCAGGTTGAGGCAACAGTTTTTATATTTGTCTGATTGACAGAAAATATGGAGCCACGGGGAGCGGGAGTCTTTCAGACTGAGTTAAGCTGACTCATGTTTTCAAAGTGAAATACTCAGCTTTTGGTGAAACGTTCTTCCACGTTCACCAAAGGTTAATTTATACAAGGTGGTTAGGGTTAGGGTTAGCAGCTTTGAAGAAGCTTGATACGAAGCATTTCAAAATTTATTTCAATCGTGGGGTGGCATGAGAGTTTTTTGGTATTTACTTTGAGCAAAATGAAAAATTTGAAAGGTACTTTCACAAAAATATAAAACACATATCACCCAACCATCTACTAAGATAACATGACTATTGCAAATATGCATTTTATTATTATTATTATTATTATTATTATTATTATTGTAAAATACAGATGTACTTCAAACCAGGGATGTCCAACTCCGGTCCTCCGTCTAAAATTATTTCAAATGCAGCCTTGATTTATGAGGCAATACTCTGAGAATTTCAAACTATGTAATAACACTATGGCCTTTTGTAAATCAAAGCAGCAAAGGAAGTGTTTTAAGGAGAACAGTTGATATTTTATAGAGAGATAAGCTTATAATTCCTGGTTAATTCATTGTGCTTTAAACAATGACTGTCAGTGTTTTATCATACTGGGATTTTTTTTTTTTTTTTTTTTTTGGGCTTCCAAACCCCCAAAAAGGTTTTTTTTTTTGGGCCCCCTGGTAAGGGGGGTNTAATTACTTTTCCCAGGGAGCAGAAGGAGAGCAACATGGCTGACATGATGGAGAACGATGAGGAGAACCATCAGAACAACAGGATCTCCTTCAGGAGGAACCAGCTACCAGCTGAGATGGCAGAGCTCCATGGAGAATTGAGACAAACAAAAGAAAAATAAAAAGTTGTTGTGTCTCGGTGAACAAAGTCTCTTTATTTCTGCTTACTCCACACACTATTGTATATACTGTAGTTTATATAACATCATATAAACTACTGTAACCCTAACCCTACAACCCTCCCAAAATGTGAGGAGCTTCAGCCAGAGTGAAAATAACATATTATAGAAATATTTCATTGAACTTAACATTATAGATTACCAATGAAGGTATCCAAAACTGAATACATTATTCAGCAAACCAAACATTTTGACATTAATATCAGGGTTGCAATTAACAAGAACCCAAAATACAAATCATGTTTGTTAGTTTCTAGTTTATACATCATCATTCTATCCACTCACTGTTTATCTGTCTTCCTGGAGAATCTTCAGCATGTTGGGCTCTGACTCGTAGCATCTTTATAGCTAGAAAGTGAGAAAATGTATCCAAAACCTGTAACCTTAATTAGTGATAACTAAGACTGAGTTTAAACTTTTAATTCTTAGTGTCCAAAATGTGAAAACATGGAACTAGAACCAGTCAGATTAGAAGGAATAAAGCTTCTAATAAAAGGGGCATTAGTGGCCCTGGGGCCCTAAGCGGCCTAAGCTACCCTGCTTCTGACATTTATGTTTTTACTGTAGAACCTCTGTCACTGAACTGTCAATGTTTGATGTTTTGAGGCATGAACAAAATATTAATTACTTTGTTAAAGACTGTTACAGTAAGTTATACTACAAGGATTGTTTATTCATTTATTTATTGCCATTTTAACAAAATAAAATATTATTAAGGCACTTAATGAGGAATACTTTGTTGGCATAAAGTAATCATGTATGTCAACACTGAAAGTATTTTATTAAAATATAATTAGCCACTATTGACAAAGTACTTACAAATATTATTGAAATGTATTTATTTTTGATGGAAGGTTGACTAAAATATACACATAATCTATTTGAAAATTACCAGAAGTACAACTTCAGAAAAGTATTGTTTGTATATATTTGTAATATATATTTAAAATGTACATTTATTTAAAATATAAAGTTTTACAAAGACATGCAAAGTGTATTTTTAAAAGGATTATCCAAAGTATAATTTTAGTAATATATTTAATTAGATTTTAAAGTATAGTTTTGAAAAAAATATACTTTTAGAAAGTATACCAAAATACACTTCTAAAACCAGTATGAGAAGCATGTTTTTAAAGATGTATTTATTTTACATTTTTAATATAATCATAAGAATCCACCTGAGAGCATACTAAAATGTAGTTTTAAAAAACACAACATATTTAAAATATACTTAAATGTATAATTTTTTTTCACCAGGTAATAGTGCCAGGGATATAGAAAATATGTTTAGTCTGTTTCTTGAACTCAGTGTACAGAAGATTTTCAACAGCATTCATTGGACAAAAAATTGGGTTGCATTAGTATGAACTTAATTTTGCTGTTAATCCAGGCTGCATTATGGGACTGGGAATCATTAATAAAGCAAAAAAAAAAAAAAAAAAAAAAAAATCCCCTTGATTTTTGGAGATGGAGTTCTCAAACTCAAAGCAAAGACCATGGGCTGTAGCACTTTAGCTTAAATAAATACAAATAAAACCACTGTCAAACTTGAGTGTGTAAGGACTTATTTCCTTTACCGCTCTTTGCAACATGTCTACTCATATCTGAAATATGAGTAGACAGACGCATATTTCCAACACAAGCACCAAACTCACATGTTTAGCGGTTTATTCAGGCTTCATTTTTTCCTCTGGTTCTTTTGCTTTAATTCTCTTCTCACTGTTTAGAATTTACAAACACTGCAAGCAAAAGAAGAGGTTCAACAGTATAGCGATAGGCCTTCTCATAAAATTCACAATCCATACACATTCTGTACCATTACTCTTTGTAATTAGTCAACTAATAAATGCCACCTTACTGACATAGTCCTGATATTTACTTTATTTTTATTGTCTGCATCTGGTGAAAGCTGTCTCCCTTTCTCTTCACTATTCCTCTTGAGCTCCACCTGAGTTCCTGCAATGGCCACAGTCAGTGTCCAGACCAGCAGGGGGCAGTGCTGTATTCACCTGTGTTGCTCAGGGTGTCCCTGATCCCCATCTAATTTGGCTGAAGAATGGCAAAGTCTTGATATCAGGACAAACTGTCAAGCTGACAAATAACAACAGGTAAGGAGATGGGGGCTGATGTGTGTACATTATTTACTGTTTTATTCAAGTTTTAGTAGTTTTATGGATCTTTGCATTGGATCAGTTCTCAACCGAGAGGCAAATCCAGCATTCAAAGACCTGGCAAAAATAAAATAGAAAAAGCATTTTCACAATAATAAGTGTTTTTTTTTTGTTTTTGTTTTTTTAAGTTAGCCGAATATAGTTTTTTAAATCCCATGACATATAAGCCTACATTAGTTTAAAGAAATGTATGAAGATAGAGTCATATATCATTTTAAAATTTTCCATAATATGTTATGTCTTAATGGACAACACTGCTTTTGGATAACTGCCTGTTTCAGTTTTGTTTTTGTTTTTTTTATGCTTTCTTATGCATACATAACTGCAATGAGATGCATTCTTTTTTGATGAAAAAGTAAAAGACGCAGTGGGAGGGGTCACAAACTCCATCTAACTCATTTTAAAATACATAGTATCAAATATATATAGTACCATATATATAAAATCAAATATTGTTGCTATAGTACATAATGCATAGTACAGCATTATGTACTATGCTGTACAGAAATAAATGCATGTATGTTGTTTTGCAGTACTTTAGCTCTGACCCATATAAGCTCAGATGATGAGGCTATCTACCAGTGCATCGCAGAGAATAGTGCTGGTACTAACCAGGCAAGTGCCCGTCTAGCTGTGGCCCAAGCTAAAGACCTGCCTGCTGCCCCCCAAGCCCTCATGGCGAGTGCTTTGTCCATCAACACCCTGCAAATAACATGGAGTAATCCACCCATCAGCATTGCTGATGACATCATCGGATACATCTTACACATCCGCAAACTGGGTGGTGAGTGCAAACGCAAAATTTGTGAAGCCTGAGTCTAAGTAGGAGCATGTTTACAAATCTGCAACTTTATCATTTTTATTTAGAACCTGATCATATGGAACTGCAGGAGGCCATAAGCAAGGACACTTTTCAGCATGATGCAACCAACCTGGAACCTAGCACAACCTACTCTCTCTACCTGAAAGCCTATTCTTCCTTGGGGGCAAGCCAGCAGTCCAACAGTGTAATTAAAACAACACTTGGCAGTGGTAAGAGCAAGGAGCTTTGATGAAGTTATATTGTAAGTCATACTGATTGTACACCTATAAAAAAATTCTGCTCTATCTACTTAAAAAATAATTCATCTATTTGCATAATTTATCTATGTTGATTAAGGAAGACTGCTCTTTGTTATAGTACTTACTTATTTCTTTACATGATATAAAATCCAAGTGAAGTGAACACAATTTTGTTAAGTAGATGAAGCAAAACTAAACTTTGCTTAATTAAATTTGCAAGTATACTATAAAATAGTTCATTTCACTTAAATTTTTTTTTTTTTTTGCAAAATCATTGCCTCAAAAAAAATCATGTTTTTAAAACATATTTCTTGATTGAAACAGTTCCTGGCTCCTGCCTACTTTTTGTTTGTTTCTCTGCTCAAACTTTGACAGAAAACATGGAAAGCAGTAATAGTTTGTTCTCCCCCCCGAGGCTATGCCATGAAAATAAGAATACAACTCATGGTGAAGTTTCATTGTATGCAAATGTAAATGCATGAAACTACACAATAAGCACTCTACTGCTCTGAAAGTAGACTGCATAGTAGAAGTTTTGCAGTCTATGTTTTTGCCTTAAACATCTTAAAACAAATATTTGTGACAAATTAAAAAGTGGTTTAATCAGTTCTTGCTGATGGTTGCACAATGCATTGTGGGATACTTTGATGGCCAATCCCTACTGTCACATATAAACCTTTGTGCTAAAAAAAATATTGCAAGATATGAAAACAAATGAATTTATGTTATGCAACCTAAAATAACTGGATAAGTTATCTTATTAAGTTAAGATAAACAACTTAACTTGTTAAGTTGCTTATCTTAAACAATACGCTAACAAATTAAACAAGTTGTTTAAGTATTAGCTTAAACAATTCGTGTTGCTAATAAGATGAAGTTAGCTGAAGTCAACTATCTCATAGCAAAAGAAAAGTACCACCTACCGTTCTTTGTGTAACTTCAAATGTCAAACAAAGTTAGAAGTTGTTGCAACTCCATCTGAGATCTTCTTGCAGGTTTTGCATGTTGCACTCTGTTTTTGTTGCATACTTCATAATTGATTTACCCAAAAGAAATTACTTGTGGGAGCATATCTGCTTTGAGCGTTTCCCCGACCCCACCTATAAAGTGTTTTGTTTTTTAAAATCTTGTTAATTTTATTGTTTGTGGTGCAGCTTACACACACACATAGAGTGTGGAAAAACAGAGGGACGGTCAACATCTGTTAATGATTAATTAGTGAAATGAATTAATGGGGCCCACTTCATAAGTAATGTGATTTTAGGTAAAATATCAAGTCTTTTAAATGGGTTCAAGTCCAATTCAAGTCCCACGTTATTGGTGTCAAAGTTAAGTTCAAGTCTCTGAAAATTTTTTCAAGTCAAGTCTAAAGTCTTAATATTAATGACTCGAGTCTGACTCCAAGTCATGTGACTTAAGTCCCTACCTCTGGTCATTAGGGCATTTGATTTTTCAACACAGAAATCAGTTGTACAAATGTTCAAAACTTTCTCTTCAGTTTGCAGGTTTACTTGACCAGAAATGGAGTAACATCTGGAGATGTCCTGAATGTTAAGCATTCATTTTTAAGTAGATAGAGCAGAATATTTTTATCAGTGTATGATGGAAAAATGAGGATGGAAAAAAATTGCTGAGAGATAAACTTGAGAGAAGTTTATAAAATGAATAGCTTTAATGTTGAGAGAGATTTCCCTTGATGCCATAATTAGACTATGAAGAAATGATTATGTTTGTCTGGTGCTCATCTTGTTTCATCTTAACATATTTGAAAACCTGGCAGGCACCATATTTTATTTTAGTGTTAATGTGGCTAGTCCATATCAACACTACAATATGTATGTCCTGACAATACACAGACCAATAATGCAGCCTACTGGCAGCCATACAGATAAAAGAAAGTGAAGCAGTTTCTTTTAGAAGTCTGTCCTATAAAAAAGTATGTCAAAAATTTTGAATATTCATCAAAATTATTTTTGATCACTTATATGCTTTAGTACTTTATATGATCTCTAAGATATTCAAAATTGTACAAATAAGCACAAAGATCTAATCCACACCTCACTGTAAAATCAAATTTGTTCACCTTTCAAAAATTATTGAAAATCATTGCCTCAAAAAAATTAAGCAATGTAAGTTCAAAATTAGTGAGTAAAAAAGACTATTTTAATTAAGAACTAAATCAAGTAGTACAATGAACAGTTCATGTAACTCATTTGTCATGCTTCATGTTAACTTTTTTTTTTAAATTTGTGTGGACTGCTTGATACAAAATTAACCCTGCTTAGAATTCCTAAATAACTACACCTTACTACTTACTCACTTTTCAAGTTCACTTAAATTAAACAAACCAATTTTCTTGAATGAGTTCTTACCCTTCTTCTTTCTCTGTTTCACTTCTTTGTTTTAATCAAGGTGTATTGGCTCTAGTGGCCTTTATTTGAGAGTAGTCAGACATGAACGTGAATAATAAGAGAAGGGGAAGACATGTAGCAAAGGTCACCAGGCCTAGATTCAAACCTGTGACTGTCATGATCCGTGGTTTTCTGTTTATTTTGAGTTTTTCTGTGTTCAGTCCTGTGTTCCTGTGTGTCTCTGTCCTGTCCTCCCCGTTGATTGCTCCCCAGGTGTGTCTCGTTCCCTTAATTACCCCGTGTGTATTTAAACCCACCTGTTGTCTGTGTTCCTCGTCGGGTCCTTGTCGACGTTTGTCTAACGTCTCAGTGTTGTTCTCACTAGCCAGTAGAACTGTAAAGTCCTGGTTTGTGTTTGTTTCCGTCTAGTCCGTTTTGACAGTTGCTACCGGTATCTAGCTGCGTGCTTGTTCCTGCCGTGCTGCCTGCCTAGGACTGTGTAGGTGCTTTGTTATCATTAAATCTCCATCATCACCATAACCTGGGTCTCAGCGTCTCTCCTCACCACCAACAACCCCCACCTTATGACAGTGACAGCTGCATCGAGGACTAAACCCCTCTGTACGTGTGTTGTGCTTTACCTCTGCTTTGGAATTTTAGTAAATTCCAACTTTTTAAAAATATTCACTTTCGATAAATTTAATAAAAACTGTCAACATACTATTTACATCTGAACATCATTTTGCATTTACAGATTTGGCACAGATGACCAAAGATAAATCTGTAGGTTTTTTTCGCAAATGACTGAAGAAGACATCAAGAACATTCCAACTTTGTATAGAACTATGGAAACTAACTTTTCGTTTAAAATAATACAAATTAACCCTGTGCTATGCTGTCCAGAATATATCCATTCCATTCCACCTTTTTAAAAAGAGCTATTTAAAATTAAGACAGTTGACCAAAGTGTACTATAACCTGAAATTAAATTACAAACAACAAAATACAAATAGAATGTCAGTAAAAGCCAATCCTTCAAGCCCGAAAAGCCTGTGAGAAAAAAATAAGCTTAAGAGAAGACTTAAAAAAAATGCAGATACTTAGACTATGTTCAAAGTGACCCAATTCCAATTTTTTTTTTTTTTTTTGAGGTAATGCAGTGTTTCTCAATTATTTTCTGTCATGCCCCCATTAGGGATCATCATTTTTTTCACACCCCCCCCGGTGACCTTCCCTCCCCAGAATTGAAATACTATTGCGAATCTGTTCATATTTAATAATTTTTCGTACAAATCACTGGCTCCGGCATTGTACGACCTTATTATCAAAACCTCTGTTTTATTGTTCTAATTCTCAATGTACTGTTATCACTACATGTTAAATACTCTGTGTATGTTAACGCAGATCAACACCAAGCCAAACTCAATTTCATGAGCCAGGGACCTGAGCGTCTTGCTCCTTTATTACGTTTTCTTGACACAACTTTGAGTAGTGGTGTGGAAAAGCTCAATGAAAGGTTGAGTGAAACTATAAGAAACAGAAAAATAAAATATGCATCAGCTATAAATACACAGAATAAACTTCTAGTGTCAGAATAGAATTAACCTTAGCTGCAGTTAAGAAACAGTCACGTAGCAACCGCTGCTATGTAAATAAAAACTACCAGGATATGGCTTTTCTAGAATAAACACATTTGGAAAACAATCTCAAAATAACCTAACAAAACATATAACACCAAACAGAACACAGATTGAACTTACAGCCATTGTTTTCGGAGGTGTAAGAAAAAATTGACAACACAGGAGATGAAGTTTATACATTAACAGCCAGGCTTTCTCTCTGCCGACAGGAATTCCAAACTGCAACTGCCTCTGTTACCCACAATGCACTGCTTCTTCTTCTTCTTTTTGTTTTATGGCGGTTGGCAAACAACTTTCAGGTGCATTACCGCCACCTTCTGGACTGGAGTATGAACCAGATGTCTAATCCCTATAATCTCCCTATTAGACCTGTTTTTCTAAGAAACCTAAACAC